TAATTTGTCAGTTTTAACAATATTTTGTAGAACTTTTGGAATCAGGCAATCTGTAAACAGACATATTTCTTGACATCTTGATTTCTTATTTAGATGCTATTTATTACTTTTGATGCTGAATTTTTCTGGCTTGGACTTTAAGTTTTGGGATTAATAGGAGTGATGAGAGATCATCTTTGCCTCATTTATGATCCTAGAGAAACTGCTTTTACTTTGTCAACACTAAGTATGATATTAGCTGTAGGATGAACTATATACCCTTTATCACGTAGAGATATATTCCTTCTATTCCTAGTGTGTTGAAGAATTAATATCACAAAAGTATATTTAAGTTTTTAAATGTTTTGTCTCCATCTACCAAACTCATCTTACAGTCTTACTTCTATATTTCCTTAATGTAATGTATCAAAAGTTGATTTTCATTTATTGAAACCGTTCTTGAAATACCAGATTTAAATTCCACATACGTATTTTGTGATGATTTAATGTTCTGAATTCAGAATTTTTGGAGGAATTTTTGCTTTCGCACGCATCAGGGATATTGATCTGTATTTTCTTGTGATGCCCTATCTGGCTTTAAGGTGAGGGTAATTCTGTCCTCCTAATACATATTTGTAAATATTTCCTCCTGAGTTCAAAGATTGAGAATAATTAGTATAAAATCTTCTTTTAACATTTCATAGAATTCACCAGAGAAGTAAACTTACCTAGGGTTTTCTTTGTTAAGGGATTATGATTGTTGACTCGTAGTAATATTTATTTATTTGTTTGTCAAAATTTTCTATTTCTTCATGTTTCAGCTTTTGTGGATTGTATACTTTAATGATTATATTTCTTTATTTCTTCAAGTTTGGCCAACTTGTTGATTTGTACTTGCACAGAAGAGTGTCTTATTTTCAGTTAATTCTGTGAGATTAGTGTCATTATCTCTTTTTGGTCTATAGTGTTTTCTAGATTGTTCTTTCCTTATTGATTTTTATTGAGTATCTTACCCATAATGGAAAGTGAAGAATTTAAATATCTATTATTTTACAGATGTCTTATCTCTCCCCTGAGTTTTGTCAATGTTTGCTTTACATGGCCAGATTTTCCTGCAAATAGATAGATAAATAGATAGTTGAATAGATGTTATATTCTTAGTTAATTGACCCCTTTTTCAAGTGTAATAACCATATTTTTCTCCTTCTAAATTTTTTGACAGAAGTGTGCCTTATCAATAACAATGCTGTTGTAGAAACCTTTTGCCATCTATCATGTTAGGTTGTGCATAAGCTTAAATCTAAAGTGAGTCTCTTGTAGATTGGATATAAATGGTTCTTATTTTTTAATTCATTTAGTCAATCTATGTGTTTTGTCACATGCTTTTTTATTAATTTTCATTTAAAGCAATTATTCATAAGGAGAAAGACTATTGCCATTTTTAATATTTTTATTAGACTTCATTTATTCCTATCTTGTTGTCCTTCTTTTAGTTTTGTTGATTTCCTCTATCAGTGCTTTGGTTTTTTATTTCTCTTTTACTGAATCTTCAACTGGTATTTGTATTCCCCAAGGAGCTACAAAATGAACATATATAATAATCTATTTTGAAATGATAGCAAAACTCCTTCAATTGCGTACAAAAACTTTTCTAGTTTTGCCTATCCTAACACCACAATTTATGTTATCCTTTACATAAATTTACAATTTATATGCTTTATAGTGTGTCAAATTCCACATTTTTGCTTTGTTTTTTATTCTTCGTGTAGTACTTCCATGAACACGTTGCATAGAAGAGTCAATAGTAGGCATCCCTGTCTTGTTTGAGTTCTTAAGGAAATGTTTTCATCTTCTTGCCCTTGAGTATGATGGCAGGTATGGGTTTGTTATGCAAGGCTTCTATTATGTTCAAGTACATTCTTTATCTATGGAGCTTATTAAGAGTTTTGTTTTGAAAGTCTGTTAAATTTTATCAAATGATTTTTTTGCATCTACTGAAGTGATCATGTGTTTTCTATACTTTTTAATGCTAATATGTAGCTCCAAATCCTAGATTTTCAACAACATTGAATGCAGAAACAACATTGCATTTTTGGAGTATGGCAATTTTAATGTTGGCAGTATATGGGGGAACATAATATACAATGAACAAACTATAAAGTTAGTTTTTATACCAAATATCAGTCCTCCACATCTTGGCACTGTGGACTGGCAGCTACCAGTCTATTGGAGAGCTGCTCTTTCTTTTCTTTTCTTTCTTTCTTTTTCTTTCTTTCTTTCTTTCTTTCTTTCTTTCTTTCTGTCTTTCTTTCTTTCTTTCTCTTTCTTTCTTTCTTTCTCTTTCTTTCTTTCTTTCTTTTTCTTTCTTTCTTTCTTTCCTTCCCTCCCTCCCTCCCTCCCTCCCTTCCTTCCTTGTCTCTTTGAAGAACAAAAATTCAATTCAGAGAAGAACTGAAGAACTGGTTCTGCAAGCACCTGAGATTTCCTGCTTCCACCAAAAGTCATGGACATGGAACCTCTGACTTTTGCCTGCCTGTGCCAACCTGGGCTCTCCCCAGAGACTACCAGGTGGTAACTCTACAGGTGAACATGCTAAATCTTCTGCTCTGGAGGGAAACACATAATCCAGCACAGCATGTGAACAAATTTCACCCCGTCTGGAAAAAGCTGGTGGCCCAATAAATGGAGGTTAAATTTCTCCTTCTCTTGATGGTCTTGGGGTGGACTGCTGTGTTGATTCAGCCTGTGTGGGGTGAGTGGCCCTGCAGCAGTCTGGGGAAAATAACAACACATTCACCTATCCTGGAGAAACTAGTAGTGCACTGAAATGACCTAACTTCTCAGAGAAACTTATTTGACCAAAAAGCAGAATTCTAGCTCCCATGTTTAACCTGTGGGCAGATGAATCTGACTACTGCCTAAATACCAGGTCCTCCAGGGCCATTTTTGAGAACCCACCTACAAAAAGATAATCTGTCCCAGATGGCTCACACCCCCATGAAGGGCCTGGGTTCAATCACCCTGAGAAGATCCCACAGAGGGCTATCCAGTAGAGAGTGACACCACTGATTGCCACTGAGCCCAGTATATCAACCTTAAGGAGGGTCAAGAACACAGAGAAAACACCTGTCAGAAGCAACAACACCCAGATTATAAATCTGAAGGAAGAGATCAGAGGACTGAATGAATGGAGAGGAAACCCACTCTCCTAATAAGGAAGAAATCTGGATAATAAATATAGATATAAATACTTATTTTAAATTTGTTTTTAATTTTTTTCTTTTTCCCTATTTTTATTTTTGTGTTGTTAGGAAGGTGCATATGGAGTAAATATTGTTTACAAAAGTATGTAAATTAAATAATTAGACATTTTTAAACTATTTCAGGAATGGTAGGTAGGGATGAATACTAAAAAAAAATGTCAGATTTATATTTTTGAACTATTTTTTCAATGGGGCAAATTTTTCCTGGCATCTTTATATGGTTCTTTTTGTCTATATTTAATTGATATTCTAACCTATCTAGATGGACAAGCTAAAGGAATAGAAGTAATACTGGAATGTTTTCCCCAAACTAGGGAAAGACATGGCCATACAGGTGCTAGAGACCTTTAGAATGCCAAATAGATATGACCGGAAAAGTAACTCTCCTTATCACATTATAGTTAAACTACAAAACAATAAAATATAGTTTAGTGCTGCAAGAAAGAAGTGCCATGTCACATATAAAGGCAAACAAATAAGAATAACAACTGATTTCTCAGCAAAAACTCTAAAGGCCAGCAAGACATTGTGGTTTGTTTTCAGCTCTCAAAGCAATACTACTATCCTAGATTACTATGGACAGCAAAGTTTTTCTTAAAAACTGATGATGAAATAAAGCAATTACAAGATAAGCATAAACTAAAGGAGTATATGACAACTAATCCTGCAATACACATGAGCAAGGAATAAGTAAATCTTGTTAGAAGATTAAGGATGGAAAGGAGATTTAGGAAAATTAAACTACAGCTAATTTTGTAAAGCATAAAAACTCTAAGATGAGTTAGGACAAGAGAAACAAGCATAACTTTCTGCTTTTACCATTTTGTCACTCTAATCTGTAGTTGTTTTTCTGATTTCATTAAAGTATATTTTGATTTTCTCTTGTAATTACAAAAATTTCTTTAAGATCATTAGTTTGAATTTCTTTTCAGGCATTTTGTAGATTTCATTGATGTTGGTTTTGTTTCTAAATAATTATTGTTCTCCTTGAATTTTTCAAATGTCTTTGCTTTTTCATGCTCCTTGTGTCTCTACACTGATATTTGTATTTCTGCTTTACCAGTCACTCTAATTTTATGCAGTAGCTTTCATAGGGAAAGACTTTTTTCCCTCTGAAAGATGTAGGGTGAGCTGAATGAAGGAGGGTCATGCCTGTAATCCTACCTGTTCAGGAGGCAGAGATCAGGAGGATCATGGTTCAAAGCCAGCCCCTGCAAATAGTTTGAGAGACCCTAACTCAAAAAAACCCTTTACAAAAAAGGAGTGGTGGAGTCATGCAAGTTTAGGCCCTAAACTCAAACCACAGTAAGGCTAAAAATCAAATATACGGTATTTAGAGTTGAGTACTTGATTTTACTTTGGTTCTCGTTGACCAGAGAAGTATAATCTCTGTGTGATTTCCACAGCTACAAAGTTAGTAGTGAGTATGTCTCTCTATGGTGTAGATTGTAAGTGCCTATGGAGGTAGAGGTGTCTTTTTAGTGGATTTGGACAGTCAAAGATGAATGAACACAAACAATACTGAGGTGAGTGGTAATGGTAGAAGGAACAGCCATGGTTCCAATTTCAAAGAACCATGGAGGAGAATGTTTTCAGTCCATCAATAGTTCATAAATAGTGACATAGTTTCTGGTAGCAAAAACTACAATTCTTAGGCTACAAGCAGAGGACTAATGTGCTCTCAATCAATGTAGATGTTGAAATCCAGTAATTTGAAGGCCTGTAATGATGACCACCATCATCTCACTCTCTTTACAGAGAAGCCCGTTGGCACTGGCAAGTTCATATGGAGAGACATGAGGTCAGAAGCAACAGAAGTCAGCACCGGTGCCTTAGTCTCTCCTATGGCAGTGACTATGATGTCTGCGATGGAGGACATGGTAGAATCTGTTCTCATTACATCTAGATGACTGTCAGTGATTTTGAGGCTTCTTTTGGTGTCAGGCAAGAATTAAGGATGGCATCCAGGGTCATAAATCAACATGGTTGTTATTAGTGCCTTTGTATTGAAGATAGAGAAATTCAGTGATAATGTGGACTGTGGTACCTGATACTTCAAATGTAAGACTGTTTACTGGAGAAAAGCATTTACCTGAACCTCAAACAGTTCCCCACAATGTGTCTGGTGAGGCAGTGAGACTCTCCTGCTTTTAGCAATGTTTTTTTGCAGAAATAATGGAGTACTCTTGAGCTTTCCCATTTACATTTCCTAGATAATGTGGTGTTTCCATCAGGCCAGGAGCTAGTGTTACACAGCACTTTATTCCTCTCACTATGATTCTACCCTGTGTTTCACAATGAAAATCATATTTAAGATGAATGATTTCTTGGGATCAGTTAAAAATGAAAACACATGGATATAAGAACAATCACTTCATGACATCTCTGCACAAATTCATCCAAGATTCTTTTTACATTGATCTAAAGACTATTTAATTGCCTTCATCATCAATTTCTTACAATCTCCACAGCTATAGTAAGTTGTAAACTATATCAGCAGAAGGACTGAAGTCCATTTCATTGCCATTTTAGTGCAATGTCATGCTCATTTTTCATTTACTGTCCCCATCTGATATTTTTCATGTTTTATTTATGGATAAATCAATCATATAAGTAAAACATAACTTCTAAGTTTCAAAGCACCCACATAGTATGAATGTTCTGATGATGTTATAGCAAAAAGACAAATAGATCATAAAAGTTTGTTCATATCTTTTATTTATTTTACAATTGCAATCACCCAAGTAATTTTGAATGACCCAGAATTTATGTCATCTGTTAAATATAATTTTAGGGTAGTGTCTGCCATGACGGAAAGTAGCCAAGTAACTCTCACCAGATGTGTGAAACCATGGTGAGTGAACATTACAGCCACAATAATAATGAGAGGCATGAATCTCTTTTCCTTACAATATATGCAGCCTTTGGATCTGTGATGACGTAAAATAAATGTACTAGACAATGAACACATTTAAAATTCATTATTTTATGATATATTTACGTAATTGTGTTATAAATCATGAGCTAAACTCAACCTTTATCCTTTATCCTTTCACAATTAATTTTTTGTTGGTATGAGAAATACCTCAGTCATGATACATTATAAGGAAAAAAGTTCATTTTGTTTAGTTAAAATTCCAGACAGCAAAAGTGGCAGCATTTGCAGTGAATTCTCTTGCTGTATTGTAACATGATAGTGATGCGGAATGGAAGTTAACACCTGTGCAAAAGAGTGGAAGCATGTGTGGGGCCTTTTTTTATAACAATCTGCTCTAGCAGCAATTTAATCTAATTTTTCCAGATTTAACCCATTTCCTAATGACACATATTAATTCATTTAAAAGTCTAATTATTGCTAAAAGATTTGAACATCTCTCAACACTATTACACTGGGGTCAACTTCAACATGACATTGGGAGGTTATAAATCATATTCAAACCATAGCTTTCCCCACTGAAAGCAGGATTATAGTGATGCAGACACCTACTGTGATGGTCTTGAATGAAGTCCACATCTCTGTTTTAAGAGAGGTTGTGAATATTTTTCTTTCACACTATGGAAGGGAAAGTGCTCTTAAAACACATTACACTCAGATTTTCACTTAAAATATTACTATTTGTACTGTATCCCCTGAGGAGGCATTCTATAGAGTTTTAACTCATTTTTATTTATTTATCATTGCAGTTTTACTAAGTCTGGTATTCTTTGAAACTTATCTGGAGAATTTTTTAGTTCATCCATTACAGTTTTTTTTTTTCCGTGTTCATCACAACAATGTAGTAGAGTTAGTTAAGATTAAAATAACTATCTTTTATCTTAATTTGATATTCCCTTATAGAGTATTTTATACTTTGTCAGAATTTCTTCCCAAAAATCACTCCTTAAATGAAGTAAGTTAGAAAATGCTGATATTTCAGGAGAGTTGTTTTGCCATTTATTTATTTATTTTAAGAGAAAACACCAGCCAGGCACTGGTGGTACATGCCTCAGGAGGTACTCAGGAGGCAGAGATCAGGAGGATCGTGGTTCGATACCAGCGTGGGCAAATAGTTTGCAATACTTTATCTCAAAAAACACTTCACAAAAAAAAAAAGAGAAAAATAGGGCTGATAGAGTGGCTCAAGGTGAAAGCCCGATTTCAAGCCTTAGTGCCACACACACACACACACACACACACACACAAGAGAAAACAATAAGTCATTTACTCCCAGTCTGTATGCCCAGGAACACACTCAGATGTGCTGTAGAGGTTATACAATGATCTAATATTTATTTTATTTTTTTAAATTTTAGTAGAACGATCCTCAGAATTTTTATCACTCCTATGTAATTGTATATATTTACATGTTTAAAGGTTCTTATTACTTAGCTATTGTTTATGTATGATACTATGTTCCCTGTTTTCAAATTAATGGTCCAGTAGAATTTCCTGTGTAGCTGGCTATGAGGGTGTCTCACCATTCTTACAGGAGAATCTTGCATAACAATGCAAGATGTTCATCTGGCCTTTCTGTAGTGGAGATCTGTTGTAAATTGAGTAAATCAGTTCAAACTGTACAAAGCTCTGGGAAAAGGTGTGTATTCCTGGAATTGTTTGAGAATTTCTCTCTATTCAGATACACAGTCATGCCAATTTTGAAATTAAGTTGCTATCTATAAAATTATAATTCCACCTTGGTCAATTTGTTCAACCATGCACTAGTCAGCTATCTGTTACTCTAGCAAACTACCTAAGTGGATCAGTGTATCAGGAACATTAGTTTATTTTGGCTCACAGTTTTGTAAGTTTCAATACATATTCATCTGCTGGAAAATTCATTCTATGAAGTAGGAAACTGTGGGTCCTCATTTGCTATCTACTCTGGTTGATATATAACGTGCAGATAGCCTATGCAGTTTTCTGAAGTTAGATAGCATAGCTAGGAAACAAGGTCCTCTAAATACTTCCAATATGACTTCCTATGACCTTAAAGGTTGGAAGAAGGAAAACCAGGATGAACCAGAATGAGTACACTCAGGAAAATTAGCATGATGCATGCACACCCAATTGGAATGCTGCTTTCTGCATACTAAATTAGCATAGACACTGAACAAATCTGAGAAAATTGTTAAATACCTCAGACCACTTAGTTTTTCAGATGCCCTCTCTTGGAATCTCTCTGAGAGTTTAAAGCTCTACTTTTTGTTCCTTTTTATCCCAATAAACTCTCTTGCATTACTCACTCTCTTTGTCCATGAAGTTGATTCTTTAGCTTCATAAGATAAGAACCTGGATCTTTGACCTTCCTTCTGGCTAGACACCTAAGACAGCAAGGTTGAGTGGAGGCTTTAATCCTACACAATCTCTAGTTTCACTATGCTATGTGATAAATGGTATTAGTAATAAAAATAGGAATAATTTTTACTGCTGATTATATTGGGAGAAGACAACTCTCTTCAAACTTGGCTATGATATATTTGTGATTAGATCTCTGTGTATATCTTACTTGGTTTCTGCCTTTGGTAAATTAATGTGTTTCATCATTTTTGTAAATTTCCAGACATTAGTTTTTAGATATTTTTTCTCTGATCCTCAGTCTTTCTCTTCTCCTAGTTGTCCAAGTTTGCATGTACTGCTGTGCTTAAGTGTGTTCCACAGTTCTGCTAATTTTCTTCACTTTTTTCATTTCCAGTTTTTTGATTGTATAATATATATTGTCTTATCTTTAAGTTGGCTTGCTGTGTTTTCTCCTGCTTCCAAATTACCTTGATTCCCTCTGATGTACTTATCAATTTCTTTTATTGTAATTTACAATTATAAGTTTTCATTTTCATTCTTTGTTAAGAATATAAATACTTTCATTTTCTACATTTTTTATTGCATTCTACTTTATTGGTACTATCTGATTATCCATTCTTTTATTCTTTAGTATTATTTCTGAGAAAATATATGTGATTACTGTCTTAAAGTTATTGTCTGGTAAATCCAACAAGTCATCTCTCTTACAGGCATATTTTATTGCCTGTTTATACCCTTGTAGAGATCACATTTACTTTTTTTGTATGCCTTTAGATTGTTTTTAACAATTGTACTATTTTTCTGTGCTGGGGACTAAATTTAGAGCCTGCATATGCTACAGACTTGCTCCCCTCTGCCCTAATTCCTAATCAAATTGTGCATTTTGATGATAGGTTATAGCAGCTCTGAATATTAGATTTCTTTGTGAGCACTGTGTCTATCATTTGCTTATTTATTTGCTTGTTTGCTGATCTTTTTTTTTGGAACTGAGATTTGAACTCAGGGCTTTGCCCTTAATAGACACATGCTGTACTGCCTGGTATGAGAGGGAATCTTGGTGTAGTTTTGATTTATATTTCCCTGATGGCTAAGGATACTTAACACTTCTTTCAGTTATTTATTGGTTCTTCAAATATTTGGTTAAGGAGAAATCCAGGTTTAAAATTCAAACTTGTATGTACTAAAAATTTTCCCTTAAGATTAAATTGGATATGTGAAACTTCAGGAAAACAAACATAGTTAAATTTAATCCTGTATATGCTTGTATTCTTTTTTATATTTCTTATATTACCTAATAATAAGTGGAATTATAACAACCTATAATAATTGGGAAGGTTTCAATTACTTTTATATGTTATTTGCATTTTACATCTGAATTTTTACATTTTAATCATTTTAATTTTAAATATATAAATTTCTTGACATTTACTCTTTCTCTGTGAATATTCTCCATTTTATTTCACTGTCTAAGGAAAGGAACCTTTGGTGAGTGTTCTCCTCAGCTATTCTTCAGATTCATAAAATTGTAAAATCATCTTAATTTTCTCAGCCAGTAGTAGCATTTTTTGTAGAATTAGAGTTTCATTTTAAGGGTTTTCATCAGAGTATATTTATTAAGTTATGGACAAAAATGATTCTCTGTATTGTTGTAAATAATAAAACAGATTTCTAGCCTGAGTGCTTAAAAAGATGAACTTTTCTGAACATAATAATTTCCAAGGAGAAAAATCTCAAACTATATAGCCCCTCACTATGATGATACTGACAGCAGGATTCCTGTCTTAATAATCTATATTGATAAGTACACAGAATACTGTTATTAACTAACCTGAGGAAATTAATCTCTATTGGTATAATAAAACTCTATTATATCATGGATTAAAATCTGTAGTACAAATGTTCAGAGATATCATAAATGAAGAAAATATTTTTATGGCAATGTGATGAAAGTGATGGGCAAAACTCAATAAACAGAGTGCCAAATCTACAGTATAACAATTATTCAAGAAACAAATTATGCCCCTAGTGTTAAAATAAAATGAAACATTTTCTGAAGATTACTGGTATTTTGATTTAGCTTATAAAAAAGAAAAACAAAAAGGCTTCAGCCAATCTACATAAAAGTTAAATAGAGATAGATGAATTTGTTTATTTCATTATTAACAAAACAATACTTATGAATAATAAGTGCACATTTTGTGTTTAAACTGGATTGAATTATGAATAAATTAGAAGAAATGAAAATCAAGTTGCTTACTACAGAATATGGAGTAAAAACATACT